AGCAGGAAAGAAGAAGAGATTGGATTTATACCCCATCCTTCACTACCCAAAGGTGTCTCAGAGCGGCTTACAAACTCCTTTCCCTTCTCCTCCCCACAACAGACACCCTGTGAGGTAGGTGGGGCTGAGAGAGTTTCTGACAGAAACTGCTCTTTTTTCAAGAACAGCTCTTGTCAGAACTACGGCTTGCCCAAGGTCATTCAGCCAGGTGCAAGTGGAGGAGTGGGGAATCAAACACGGTTCTCCCAGATTAGAGTCCGCGCACTTAACCACTACACCAAACAGATATCTGTGCTACTAACACCAACCAATGGAATGTAATATATTGAACTAGAAGGTTCACATGCTTTCGAAGTTTTGCTCTTTGATTCTCACCTGATTGGATTGAGCAGCTTGAACGTTCTGCCATTTGGAAACTGGTTCTGTAGTCATGTGCCATTCTGGGAATGCCTTTTTAAGCAGCCTTACAAATGTGGACTTCCCTACAGCTATGAAACAAACATACACATCCATTAACCTGCACCTCTGCTTTAGAAAGAAATGTCAATAGCCAACAGAAGGCAAGCAAAAGATAGTTATGAAATGCATGCAGCATGGAAAGCTCCAGTTTCAGATCTCACTTCAGTAAGTCACTGTTTTCTCAGACTCATATGGGGATAGCCCTATAAACCTGACGCAAGAACCACTGAAATCATATGCATAAATCACTTAAGAACATAAGAGAAGCCAATGTTGGATCAGGCCAACGGCCCATCTAGTCCAAAACTCTGTCACACAGTGGCCAAAAATCCCAGGTGCTATCAGGAGGTCCAGCAGTGGGGCCAGGACACTAGAAGCCCTCCCACTGTTGCCCCCCCCCAAGCACCAAGAATACAGTGCATCACCTGCCCCAGCCAGTGAGTTCCTATATATACCTTGTGGCTAATAGCCACTGATGGACCTCTGCTCCATATGTTTATCCAGTTCCCTCTTGAAGCTGTCCATGCTTGTAGCCGCCACCACCTCCTGTGGCAGTGAATTTCATGTGTTCACTCTTTGGGTGAAGAAGTACTACCTTTTATCTGTTCTAACCCGACCGCTCAGCAATTTCATTGAGTGCCCACGAGTTCTTGTATTGTGAGAAAGGGAGAAAAGTACTTCTTTCTCAACCTGCTCTATCCCATGCATAATCTTATAAACTTCTATCATGTCACCCCTCAGCCATCGTTTCTCCAAGCTAAAGCGCCCCAAGCGTTTTAACCTTTCTTCATAGGGAAAGTGTTCCAATCCTTTTTATCATTCTAGTTGCCCTTTTCTGCACTTTTTGTGCAGTTTTGGTGACCAGAACTGTACACAGTACTCCAAATGAGGTCGCACCATTGATTTATATAGGGGCATTATGATACTGGCTGATTTGTTTTCAATTCCCTTCCTAATCATCTCTCCAGATGGTAAGCAGAGGAGAAGAGTCACAGCAAGACTGCACTTTGAATTTATACTTCTTAATTACAAGAAAAACCATTTCCTATGGGGTGTGGGTTAACAAATTTAACTAGAATTCAAGTAAGTCAAAGTTGATGACAAATGGCCTGGCCTATGAGGGAGAGATGAGTTAATCTCTTCTGGACGGCTTTGACCCTGGATGGTCAAGGTTGCCAGCAATTCAACACTGGCTGCTCACCACCCTCGAAGCATCTTTTCTTCATCAGTGCTTGATACTGTATTAAAAGTCATCCAGATAAAGCAGACAGGACTGGTCCTAATTTTGAATTCACTTGTCTTCAAGTTGCCTAAGTACAAATGATTTTTAGCCCTGTTCATCATAGCAGCAGGCCTAAACCTGAACTTTGTGGAGTCCACTTGGGGTAGGTATGTGCTTTCAGGAATCCCGCCCGATCACACATCCCAGTCGAGGTCCCATGGTCAGGAGGGAGATGCCGATCACACAAGTATCCTGCACCTCCACCGAGAGCAGCTGGGCCGATGAGAAAGGGAAAGGAAAGAGCCGCGGCCTCTGGGAGGGTCTCCGCTGCCCACTCCGGGTGGGGTCCGTGTTCCGCTTGCAAGGAGGGGAGGGGGAGATTAACCCACCAGATCCCCCCTCCCCGCCAGCAGCCCTCCCTCCCTGGGACACGTGGCCCGCTCTCCACCTGGCCGCTGCCACTCACCCCCATCGCAGCCCCCCGTGGCCCTCCCTCGACCCCAACAACGCTGTGCGTCTTTGTGCACATGCGCTGTTGGGCGCTTCTGGAGGCATGGGCGCCGGATGCCACGGGAGTCCGGCAGGGACGCAATCAGGCGCCCGCTCTTGCCACGCGGTTCCCGGAAACTAGTACCTCGGAGGTACTAGTTTTTTACTGCGTGTCTTCGGAGGGTAGTCATGGGTCAGCTATGGGAGCTCTACGCTCCCCAGATGTTGCGGTGAGATCGCGCCCGGAAAGTCCGCCTATCTTCCGTCTATGCAGCGTGGCTAATGCTCCGTGTGACCGCAGCCTCTATCTATTGGATCCCCCTTGTCCACATGTTTTTTCACCCCCTCAAAGAACACTAACAGGTTAGTGAGACAAGATCTTTCCTTACAGAACCCATGCTGAGTCTGCCTCAATAGTTTTTCTTCATCAATGTGCCTACTAATTTTTTCCTTAATAACAGCTTCCACCAACTTTCAGGGTATTGAAGTCAGACTGACTGGCCTGTAATTTCCCGGATCTCCTCTGGAACCCTTTTTAAAGATGGGAGTGACATTAGCTTGGAATACACAAGAAGTAACTACACAGTATTTACTTATCAGCACAATCATTCTCTCCCCCAGTGACGCCCACGCCCGAATCTGTGCATCTTCCAGATGTGGTGCGCTCAAAATAAATTTTGATTGCCGACAGGAATTAAAAGGAACAATAATAGAACCCCCGGAAAGGGGCTGACTGCAGGTCTCTTCAAACCGACAGCTTTTCCCAGTGCCACAGGTCAATTCTCTATAGCGCATGCCTTCTGGGTACTTGCATTATGTATTTCCCAGTACTAAGAAACCCAGGCAAGAACTGGAGCTCTCCCCAGCCCTTACCGATATTGCCTTCGATGGACAGTCTCTTGCCAAGCTCCATGCACAAGCCCCGCACGCTGGCCATGTCAGAGTACCGAACACACTGGTCGAAACATCCGCAATCAACAGCGTCCCTTTCGCAGGAACCCAGGGCGCAGGCGCAGCCGAACCCGTTCGTCTCCTTCCGGAGCAGCCGCTTCCACGGCTGTAATTCGCCTGGTCCGTCCTTAGAGGTCGGCTGACCACTCGGAAATGGCGGCCGTTTAGGAGGCAGAGGACTTCAAACAGCTAATCTGTAATTGCTGGCAACAGAATTTAAAACACGTTATGGCACAGGACGCGTACAAGTGTCTGATGAAGTGTGCATGAACACGAAAGCTTATACTCAGAATTAAACTTTGTTGGTCTTAGAGGTGCCACTGGTTTCAAACTTTGTTCATGTACAGGAAAAGTAACCGTGTCCTAATTGCTTGAGGAAGTTTCACACATGACAGCTACAAACCCAGGCTGTCCAATAAGTGCTCGCTCAGCAGATGCAGCCAGTCTGTAGGCTTTTCTCCAGCTACCTTACAGGATACGTATTGTGTCTGTCGTAGGGACCTTTTGTTTTGTATTTTTAGATTAACTTTTCAAAAAGCTCAGGTGTCTACTAAAACATATAAAATGTGTGATGGTGTTCAGTTTATGCCCATGATTCACATCCTGGTGATTTTAGGCACCCAAGAGTTTCTGTCCAGCTTGAGGGCTGCTTGAACTGCACAGCTCCCAGAACCATAGGACTTCTAATTCAAAGAAAGACTTCTTAACTTTTTAGGGTTGCCAGCTTCCAGGGGGCCTGGGGATCTCTCGCTTTTACAACTGAGCTCCAACTGACAGAGAACAGCTCCCTTAGAGAAAATGGCTGCTTTGAAGGCTGGACTCTATTGCATTGTACCATGCTGAGTCCCCTCCCTAAACCCCGCCCTCTCCCGGATCCACTCCCAAAGTCCCCAGGTATTTTCCAACCTAGACCTGGCAACCCTATAACCCTTGCTACAGTTCCCATAGCTGTTTCAGGGATGTCATGAGAGTTTCCAAAACGGTCTAGAGATGTCATAAAGATGTCCCTTAGAAGGGCTGTGGCTCAGTGAAAGAGCGTCTGCTTTGTATGCAGAAGGTCCCAGGTTCAATCTCTGGCATCTTCAGTTTAAAGGACCTCGCAGTAGGTGATGTGAAAGACCTCTGCCTCAGATCCTAGAGAGCTGCTGCCAGTCTGAGTAGACAGTACTGACCTTGATGAATGGCTGGTCTGATCCAGTACAAGAAAACTTCATGTGTGTCATCTTCTAGATGCATCCTATATGTCTGTGTTTTTTACCTTGGGGGTGGCAGGAGAATGTTCTAAAGGCAGGGTTACCATCCACTTTGATCTGGGACAAGGCAGGCCATTGACAACAGCCAGAAGTAAAACTATTGGAGGAGTAGGCAGGACCATCCCATGACACTGTTAATGCCTTAGGGTAGAGCTAGTTTGGTGTAGTGGCTAGGAGCGCAACTGTAATATGGGAGAACCGGGTTTGATTCCCCACTCCTCCACATGCAGCTAGTTGGGTGACCTTGGGCAAGCCACAGTTCTCTCAGAGCTGTTGTCTCAAGAGCAGCCCCACCTACCTCACAGGGTGTCTGTTGTGGGGAGAGGAAGGGAAAGTGATTGTAAGCCACTCTGAGTGAAGGGAGGGGTATAAATCCAGTCTCCCCTTCCTCTTTTTCTGTTGCCAGCTCTAGATTAGGAAATACCTGGAGATTTGGGGGGATGGAGCTTGGGGAGTGGAGGGGAGGGACCTCAGCAGGGTCTAACACCTTCAACTATTTGTATGGAGGTTCTGGGTTCAGATTTTAACTGGAAGGTTTTGTTTGATTTTATGTAGCTACTCATTAAAAAAATAATATAAATGTTGATGTGCTAGCCTAATAAGTCAGAATTTGTTTTTCTTTTTATTAATATCCCTAAATAAGTAACATTGATTTTTGCTGTTAAAAGACATTGTAAGTACATTGGGCTCCCACAGCCTTATGAGCCATGCTGAGAGGTTTTGAACTCACACACACCTTCCACAAGAGCAGATAAACTTTGAGGCTGAAGTCAAATGTCATACTGGAGCTATTCCAAGAGTTCAGTTACTTTTTTTTTAAGTGACGTTTTGTGTGTGATTGAAGTAGGGCTGTCAACATTTTTCCTGGCAGGGCTCCTGTGTCTGTAACTACTACTTGATAGGAAGAAATGCAGCATTAGAAACCTCCCCATGACTTCCATCTACACAGTTTAAGGAACACCTTCGCCAGCTACATTTCTTTCTCTTGTGCAGCTGCTTTAAAAGCACAAGCCCTGACAGAAATAAAGATAGCCGTACTGATTGGGAACATTTGACACTACGGTTGCAAAGCCTTCCTCAGTATACAGGGAGGCGGTGGAGAACCGCCAGGACTCGCCTCCAAGGCTGGGCGCAAAGCAACAGCCACAACAGCTGAACGTCGATTGAACTGGGAGTGAGAGTGGAGGCAGACATCTTGGACATCGATCGCTCGGCACTTCTGCCTTCTGTGAGAAAAGGAATCCTGTAAGGTAGATAAGGCTGAGAATGTGTGACTGACCCAAGGTCACTCAGCAAGCTTCCATGCCAAGAGTGGGGATTTGAACCCGGGTCTCCCAAATCCTAGTCTGGCACTCTAACTTTTACATTACACTGGGTCTCATTCTAACTCTGTTCAGGATGACACTGGGATTTTCACCATTTGTGCTCTTGACTATCAGATCATTCAGATGGCATTGTTGGCAGCCTGTTGCATTCCAGTGCTTTCCTTGTTATCTTCTTATCTTTTTTTAGACCTGATTTGTGGTGGTTTTAAAAAACTTAAATACAATTGCAGTGCAACCAGTTTTGACAGTCAAAGGGTTGTTGAAGCTTCTCAAGAATTTTGCTCTTTCATTCTGCTTTCAGCTTCATTTATCACTTTCTATTAATTTAGAAATATTATAGCTGAATGGATGCTTAATTACCAGTTCCTGCTTCAAGGGAAGGGTTTATGTTCCTTTTAAAAAGTTGTAGTTTATAATGTTATTTTGCTGGTTTAAACAGATGAGCACTTTGACTGCCCTCCTTCCCCCCAGGGAACAAGAACGGGCCATTAATAATTGATTCATTAATTCCAGGACACTGTGAAATAACTGATCAGTCTGTAAAGCAAATGGACAAATAACTGATAAGTAACTAAGCAAATGGACAAATGGAAAACTACAGAGTGAAGGGTTTATTTGCTAAACAGCACTTGGCATCCGAAGTAAACTTATAGCAGGATCCTGCTCTTGGGGGCTGAGCAATGCTAGATATTTGTGAAGAATCCAGCATCTTATTAAATAGCATATGGAATCACATTTTGAGTTCCATGTAACTGAATGCAAAATAGTGGAGTCATACCAAGCAGGTCAAAAGCATCCTTGTATGAAAGCAGGGTGTTGGTTTTTTTGTTGTCAAGTCACAGCCGACTTATGGCAACCTTTTGAGGTTTTCCTTCCAAGCTGAACTCAATGATGTGAGAAAAAGCAAAGGACAAGGTATGACAGACAGTGCTGGCTTGAAAAAGTTTTAATGCTTATTGAAGGTTAGAAAGAATTGCAAAATAGGGAAAGCTCCATGCTCTTGAATAATCTAGCCGTGGTCTTTAGAAACACTTCCTGTGCACAATTGAAGGGCCAGCTTCATCATATTCTGGTTTGCTGATCCACATCTGCTGGAAAGTGGAAAGGGAAGCCAAGATGGAGCCTCCAATCCAGACGGAATATTTGCGCTCAGGAGGGGCAATGATCTGTCAAAATATTTGCAAATCAGGGTCAGTGCATGGAATAGGATCATACATTTTGTCTTGTATCCACTGAGAAATGAAGTGAAAATCCAGAGCCATCATCCAACTTGAAAATAAAATTTCTGCACAAAAGCTGTGTGAAGTGGCACCACTGATGTAATGATCTCTGTTCTCAAAATGTGAGAAGGACCTCCACAATAAAATAAAAAGACAAATACAAATGGTTGATACCTTGGGGACTAACCCTTGTCTTTTTGCCTTTAAAGAAAGATAATTTGCAGAATGTAGTAACATTTATCTCCACATCTTGGAAAAGCTTCACACATGCAAATTTCTGCACATTAAGCTACTGTTAAAGGAACATTAATTGGTCATTCATTCATATTAGCAGGAACAAAAAAAAAGTACCTGACCAAGTACTGTGTTAATTTCTGTACATATTTGTCAATGTAGATTCGCTACTACCACACTGGTCGGTTAGTATGGGACACATACTATTTGGTCATTCAGTTTTTATGTCCAAGCAATGTTGTTGCCATTCCATTGCTTTCCAGTGTTTTCTGTTTTTGTCTCTCCTCTCATCAATCTTTCCTTTATTTCATACGCAATTGAAGCCTCGCCATGTCCACTGTAGACGAGCAAAGCACGACTGAGGATTCCCAGGGCTGTAATTCCTTGAATTGTCTTTCACAAACTGGCTTTAAAAAGCTTCTGTTTCTCAGTTTCTTAGTGATTTGTTAGTTTTGTGCTGCAGCTTTCCTGAATTAGTTGGTCAGTTCCTGTTAATTAAAGTTGTGTGTGTGTGTAAAATTACCCTTTGCAACCAAAACAATTGCTCTTCACTTTTTTCATGATTGCAAAAGAAAGAAAAAGTTAAGGAGCAGTTGCTCTGAATGTAAAGAACAATTAAAACATGAATACACACACATGCACTGCAGGGAACTGTGGCTGACTAATTCAAAAATGCCAGGGCCATACCAGTTAATAGGAAATATGTACCTAGCAGTTCAAAAGCAAGAAATTGCAAGTAGATAAATAGGCACCGCTTTGGTGGGAAGGTAACAGTGTTCCGTGCGCCTCGGCGTCTAGTCATGCCGGCCACATGAGCATGGAAACATCTTTGGACAGCGCTGGCTCTTCAGCTTGGAAACGGAGATGAGCACTGCAACCCTAGAGTCAGATTCGACTGGCTTTCGAGCAAGGAAAACCTTTACCTTTACTTACAGATAGAATAGCTGAAGCGTT